TCACAGGCATGTAGTTCAACTAAGCATGACAATGACTGCAGGTTATCTCACAAAAACACCATTCTTCCCTTCTTCCTCTGTATTAGAAAGCCCAACCCCAATTTTTAGGAGTACACATTGCTAACTAGTTTATATGACTGCATTTCCTAGCTTCCCTTGCAGCCAGCAGCAGCCATGTGACTCAGTTCTTCAATGAGACATAATTAGAAGTATTAAATAGGACTTCTGAGAAGACTTCTTAAAAAGAAGGGGTCAAGAACTTTTCCTTCTCTTTTCCCTTCCCAAATTATGAATGTTAATAGATTTTCTTAAGCTTTAGCACTCCTCTTGGACCATGAATAATGGAAGCCAAATGCCATGGATGATAGAGAAGAAAAGTCTCGAAAGATTTCCTGAAGCTGCCATACTGGCCCAGGTATGCCTCTCTCCTGATTTTGTATGTGAAAAAATAAAACCTGTGTGTTAGCTGAGTAAAATAAAATCAGCTGTTAAACTTTGCAGTTGGTCATTCCATCTTGCCTATGTGGAGATTGCCATGTGGCAGTTGGCATGGAATTGGTCCACAATTCCATACTCTTCTCCAAAGTGGTGACATATCAAAGATGGGGCAATGGGAGCAGACAACCCTTAGTACAGTTAGTACAGGCAATAAAAGAGTACACTAGCTATAGACAATTTTTTTAAAGACTGAAAGTCAAACTGTTTTCTATCACTAAGCACTAGCAATTTTAAACAATGTTAGCAATAAAACATTCCTTCCCTCAAGTTGAATGATTAATCATCTGTGTGCTAAGAAAAAAAAAAAAATTCCTTCCTTAAAAAAAAGAAAAAAAAATCTTTGGTTGGTCAAAGTCCAAAACAATTGTTGTGGTTACTATTGACTTTTAATAATGTATATGAAGTTTGAAATTAGCATATTTTTATTTATCCTCTAATCGACATTTTATTCTACATGGAAGTTGACTCAGATAACTCTCAGCTATTCGTTGGCCCCTGACACACACAGTGTTAACTACGAGTGTTCATTCAGCTAATCTCAGTTTGTAAAGGTTCAAAATCATTCAAGATAGCTTTGGGTCAGTTTTGTGTCTGTAATCCCTCTGGTAATATATGTTCCAGCATTTATACAGTAGGTTGAAAGTAAACAATAATAGTGCAGTGATTATAAAAAGAAACAGAATATGGGTCACTTCAATTCTGTCATTTTGTGTGACCAATTGTAGTTTTATGTGTGTTTAAAATCTAAAACAGTGAAACAATGAAAATTTAAAGGTGTAATACTTCTGTTTAGTGAGTGCACATTGTAGTTTATACATGAGATAAATTTTGAATATCTTTATGATTAAAATGTATTGTTTTCCTTGGTAATTGAAAATTAAAGAACAGATCAATAAAATAATAAATAGTACTGATAATTACTGAAATTTTTTCATATAGAAGAGTATTAAAAATGATCCATTCCAGATATTACAGATAAACAGCAGGTATACCACAACCCTGAAGTGCTAATAATACAGTTAATCTTCTTCTCCAGAATCCCAGAAAGCAGGGTACTAATTTACTGGTAATCCACCTAGAATCAAGTCTCAATTAGCTACCATGGTCAGAAGTCCAAAAGCATATCACTCAATCATTGACTTGGATATGAAATGCCCCCTCCATATATATACCCACTCTATGTTCTTTTTAGATCCACTCTTAGCATTCTGAGGGTACAAGGAGTTGATAAGAAAGGAGAAAGACACGTATTATCTATAGGTAATGATGTCAGTCATTTCACATATATCATCTCCACCTTCTCACCCTGATCCAAGCAACCATTCACTTCTAACTTAGGCTTCCTCACAGTTCTCATCCTTGTCCCACTACAGTTTATTCTTTTGTTAAAATATAAGTCAGATCATGTCTCTCATCTATAAAAATTCTTTCAATGGCTCCCCATCTCACTCAGAATAATGGCATATAAAAGTGGCTTTCTGTTTTCTCTCTGACTTCATCTATCCTTGCACGTACTAATTCTTTATCCCAAGGACATTGGCCTCCTTGCTGTTCTTTAAACAAACCAGTTGTGTTCTTTCTGGATGTTCCTTATGCCTAAAATCCTCTTATCCTAAACATATACACAGAGCTTGTTCCTGCACTTCCTTCACATCTTTGCTCAAATGTCCCTTAACTAGTGAGGCTTTGATGGATCTTATATACCATCCAACTTCCTATGTCTCTCTATTCTCTTAACAGGTTTTATTTATTTTTTCCTAGTGATTAGCACCTTCTGATATGGTGTATATTCATTTCTGTTATGGTTTAATGAACCTCCCAACCCCTAGAATGTAAGCATGAAAGTGAGGAATTTGGTTTTTTCTTTTTTTTTTTTTTTCATTGTGATCTCCCCTGCACTTAGATCAATGCCAATTCATAGTAGATCCTCTACATTTTGTTGAATAAATTAATGACCTAATACTACCTATAAAAAAAGGCACTGTATCACCATTTTATGTAAGAGAATACTGAGGATAAAGTAGGTTTGACAATTGGTAATAGCTTCAAGACTGAGAAATGTAAAAGCCAGGCACTTAACCTCAGATTTGTTACTCTGAGAATAGTGTTATTTCCACTTTAGGCATACTGGCTAACCCAGCACAAACTGGCATTGCAGGCAGAAGCCATGAATAAATAATTTACCATCCAATGTGAACTCACATCCTCTTATCTATGAGACAGATTTTATTCTGTAAAATCTCAAACAATACTTTATGTTCAAGGACCATGATTTGCATGTAATGCTTGAAATAAGTTATTACAGTCAAATGTTCTAAAAAGAAATTTCACTGTTGTAAAATGTTCAGTTTGTACTTCAGGCACCTTGCAAATGAAAGAACAAGGAGCAAAGATCTTTCAACTAGCCACATTATAAAATGGTGGCTAGATACCCAATCCCTATTTGTTTGTAATGCGCCACTAATTAATTAAATTTTATGCAACATATACTTCTAGGAAGCTGAAAATCTAAGGCCTGAAAGAAATTTTGGTGATTATTAACATCGGCATTTAATAGGTAAGAAATCTGAGGTCCAAAGGATTTCTATTAGTGGCAAGGCCAAAATTTAGAGGTTCCCTGCCTCCCAAGCAAGAATAAAGTTTACTACTCCCATCTCTTGAATTCTGATAAATAGCTAAATAAACGCTGTCATCATATAATATTCACTGCCTCAGTCCTCTAAGAATATTGAGATTTTTTCCCCCATCAATCAATCATTTATTACGTAGTCTCCACAAGATGTCTGCCACCCTTTTCTCTCTCATACACAGTTGGCAAAACTTCAAATTTCTCCATTAATTTAACCTGTTGTCAGTGGTGGCTCTGGGCCCCTATACTTCAATATATTTGGAAGAGGAAGGAAGTCTCACCCTGACCCAGTTGCCAGAAATGCCAGGACTGGCATGGGTTTTTTTCAGGTAAATTTCATGGCACAAGATCATCCCAAAGAAAGTCCTTTCCCAAGATCATGACTCTGTTCCTTTCTGCCTCTCTCAGCACCATCTGAACAGATGATTAGATGGAGCAGTGGGGGAGGTCTGTGACAGGAGACTCAAGTGCTAGACTGAGCTTTGCCTCCAAGGAGTTTGTAGCCCTGGGCAGGTCTGTCCCACTCTCTGGATCCCAGGTTTACTGGTTGGACAGCAAGGACTCTACGGTGTTTACCTGCTCTAATCTTTTCTGGTTCCACAAACATTTGATGTAGCTTTAATGAAACCTCAGGGAAGTAGGGGAGGTCGGGAAGAAGAGTCTCCTGAAGCGCCGGCACATTGGCATATAAACTGGATGCCATTAAGAACCACTGAAACAGAGATCGAATGAAACTCTGAGGAAGAGAAGAGGTCAGCTCCTCTGAATATAGTCCTAGCCCACATCGGATTCCTTCCTCCCTTTTACAATGAAGGCAAAAAAGGAGTTAAATATCAATTTTTTGCCCAGCCACTTCAGGCTACTTTTTTTCATCTGCGGGTTATGGGTGGCAGTGCAGAAGTGTGGGCTGTATTGCCATCAGTGTCTGCTGACCCAACCTAACTGCCTTCTAAGACCATTTTGCCCATGCCTTCCAGCTGAGGACAAAGTCATGGTGTCCTCCCACTCCCCTGAGTCCCTAACCAGGCTTAAACTGCCCCTAGCTAAGTCAGAGAGGCATCAAAATGCAGCCACCACTTCCTCTGCAAAAGGAAGTCATTCCAAGGTCTCCAGGTGGAGAAGCGAACACCATGGCATAAAATGAACTGTTGGAGGATTATACTAAACACACAAACAAGCACACACTCCTTGGGAGAGAGAAAAGAGCTCTGTTAACTGACTGTGGCCCAAATCCATTTCCAGAACGTGGGTTTCTGCAGCTGTCTCTCCTTGACAAAGCCCCAAGTGTGGACAGGGTGACCCCAGCCCAGGCAAGGAAGGACTTCAGGGATCCCCCAGGCAGCTTTCTGAGAGTAGAGAATGGCTCTCTGTCCCTCATGCCCTGGCGTTGATCAGGGGAAGGAGTTGCAGGAAACCTAGTTGGGGGCGGGGGAGTCATGCAGCTCTCTTATAAGACCCCCTCCACATTCCCAGGCTTTGTGACCGTCCCCTTCCCCCCACAACCCTGTGGCAGCTAGTCAGCCTCCTGCGAGCTTCACTGCTTCCAGAAAAGCACTCTGCCATCCCCCTTTCCTCTCTGGCCTCCCAGATGACCCCTGGGATGTTCCTGGGCACATCATCTGGCCCCTATCCCTATTCCACCTTAATCTCGGATAGAAAAGTGGAGGGGAATGGGAGGGGGGTTCCTGGGCAGGCAGGCAAGCAGGGACTCCTAAAATGGCCACAGCAGCTCACTGGTGTCTCAAGGACGGCGGCTAGGGCGGTGGGCAGAGGCCAGGGGGCTCACTGCGTTGCGGCTCTTCGGAGGAACGGGAGGTGGGGCTGGGGGAACTGAGAGGCTCAAGCAAGGGAAGCCGAGGCTGCAAGCACTCACCATTCCCGATCCGCCCCTTATCCACTGCATGGTGCTCGCGAAGTCCGGCTTCTCTGAGGCCCCGTAGCTGGTGAGAGTTGTCGCGGGCTGACTAGGAGGGCTGGGTTGAAGCAAGCGAGAGCCCCAGCGCCCCCTCCGCCTCCCCTCCTCCACAGCCCTACAGCCCAATCCCCTCCGCCCCGGACCTCGCCTTCAGTCAGGTTGTTCCATGCCGAACGGCAGGCTCTGTCTATCCGCCCTGCTGCTCCTAGAGGTCTTGGCAGGGAGAGGTGCGAATGTGGGGGGGTGTCCCAAAGGGCTGCCTTTGTCCCCCACGAAGGCTTGAGAACTGTGGGGGTGGGGTGCTGGGAGAGGATGGGGGCGAATAGCCTCCGCCCGCCCAGGAGAAAGCAGCTGCTACCTCTGCCTGCCTCCCGCTGTGCTGGAGTTAGATGCTGTTTATTGTGGGGCTTCCCAATTGTGTCGAGTCAGCGGAAAGTCGTCTCCAAAGTTACCAGAGGTGTTTGACCAATCCCAGAATAATAAGATTCTGCCCCAGTGGAGCTATGCCAGCACTCTCCTGCCTCCCTCCTCCACCCTCCCTCTGCATCCTCCCCTAGGGTCTTCTCTCTTTGTGTACTCTCTTAGAGCTTTCATCTGCATTACTTTCACTTCTCAGAACAACTCTGTAGAGGAAGGCATTAGTATCTCCATTTTACAGATAAATAAATGAAGGTTTGGAAGAGGCAAGGGGCATAAGTTCAAAAAAAAAGAAAAGAAAAAGGCTCTGCAGTTTTCCAAGCCTCTCTCAGCTATCTCCCCCTCTCATATACACACCACTTCAGGCTTCTTCACACCCTTAGGAACACGAAAGGTAGCTTGTTGATGGACGAATTTTCCATTTGCTTATTTTGCTGAGAATGAGTTTAATGTACATCAGCAAAACAGGTAAACGGAGAAACCGCACACCTCTTTATGATTCCCCAACTCTGGGGAACACAACACAGGCTGGTACCTTTACTTAGGCTAAAAATTGACTTTGTCGGTCACACTGACATCTATTATTATCCCTTATAATTCTTACAGTAACTCTATGAGGTGGACACAACAGGGATTCTTAATTGCCCCTCCCCCCATTACAGACTTGAACACCGAAGCCCAGAGATTCAAAGACATCTGCTCAAAGTAGCACAGGCAAACAAGGCAAGATTCCAAGGGTCCTAACTAGAAGAGCAGGTCAGGCAAAGATGGATTTGCAAAAACAGACGTTGCAACCAAAATAAAAGGAGTTAAATTATGATATTAGAAAGAAGTTCCTGGAGGTAATTGGCATGAAGACATCACTGCCCTGTTACACATACAACTTTATTTGTCCTTTTTAGCACCTTCTGCGCATCATCCAAGCCATTTTTTTGTCCAGACAGAGCTGGCCAAAGATAGAAGCAGTACCTTAATGAGCACCCCATCATGGGAGGTGTACAAGCAGAAGCTCAATTACCCTTTGGCAAGAGATTCCTGAATCAAATGGGAGGTTTCCTGGGATGACCTTACAACATCCTCTCAAGTCTAATAATCCAGGCATCAGTGACTCCACAATATTCTCTCACTTTCCCATGTCTGGGCCTTCTCTCATGCTGAGTATGAGAGTTGGGTGCTCCTCCCCTGCCAACCAGCCCATTCAAACTGTCATGAGTGTTTAAGATCTGGCACCAGGCACACCACCTTTAGAAAGCTTTCCAGGAATACCTCCAGGCCCTGATTTTATCATCTTTCATTTGATTCCTATAGCACTATGATTTTGCTCTCTCAATTAAAAACAATATTTTTATTTCCTGGTTGTTACAGGCTGAATTGCTCCCCCCTAAAAAAAAAATTCATATGTTGAAGTCCTTCCCAGTACCTCAGAATCTGACGACTCAGGAAGAAGACAGCCATCTACAAAGCAAGCCAACAAGAGCGGCCTCAGAAGAAACCAAAAACGCTCATACTTTGTTCTCAGACTTTTGGCCTCCAGGACTATAAGAAAATAAACTTATGTTGTTTAAGCCACCCAGTCTGTGGTACTTTGTTATGGCAGCCCTAGTGAAATAATGCAATGGTCGTATGAACATTTTACTGTTCCCTTTCACTTAGATGGAATTATGTTTTTTTGAAGCAGTGAAAATGAATTACTCATTTTGGTATCTTCTACAAAAGTGACTGGCACATAGTAAATACCCAATAAAAACTTTAAATTTTTTGGTGGATGCATTCATTCAACATTATTATTTAGTCCCTATGTGTCAGGCATTGTGATAGATGCTCAGGATACAAGACAAAGTTCCTCATAGACTTTACAATCTACTTGGAGAAGAGAGATAGACAATAAATAAGTAAACAAGCAAGATATTTATAGATTGTGATATGTGCTCTGAAGGATATTAAACGAATTTATGTGATGTGAGTAGCCCTGGAATTGTAGAAAGTATCTAAATCAACCAAGGTCCTATCAGGAAAATAAAAACCACCCTAGGTCTTTTAAACTGAGAGCACTTAATATATCACACCTGCAGAGATAAGAGCCCAAACAGAGGATGGGGCAGCAACCTAGCATTTAACGAACACAGAAAGCTGCTACCACTTGTAGGGATGGATGGATAACAGGTGAGGCCATACAGAAACCAAAATCACTGGTTGGACAGCCTATGAGAAGCAGGTGCCATAAATGGAGGAGTTGTTCAAGAGGACCTGGATCCATGGAGGTATACAGATACCACCAGAAAACACCTCTTTGATACAGGAGGTGGGAGAAATACCCTAGGTTCTCCCTTCCTCCTAGCCACAAATCTCCTGTATGTGTCTCCCATTGGATAAAAGAAGTGAGAAAGCAAGGAAATCTAAGAAATGTAATTTTCAGAAGAGTGGAGAATGGATCTGAACACAAACAGGCCAGTGTTAATAGAGAGACTAGGGATTCCTGCAAAAAATAGGTGCCTAGAAACTCCTGCAAAAAACAGGTGTTGATTCCAGAGGTATAATTACATGTTGTTGAATCCAGTCATTATGTTTTGAGCACCTATTTGCCTAGAACCATATGAGTAGTTAGAGGAGATATAATGTAGTTGGTAGGGCGTAATCCCTTATGTCAGAACAACTTGGATTGGATTCAGTTATTGGCTTTGCCACTTACTTGGGCAGATTATTCAATGTTCTGTGCCTTGACAGCTTCTTTATCTGTGAATAGGGCTAACAAGGTTGTTACAAAGATTAGATAGATTTGTCCAAGGAAAGTACTTAGCACAGGACCTGGAAGCCAGTAAGCACTCAGGATAGGACAATAGAAACCTGGAAAAGGGGTTTCCACAATCTCTGTGTTCACTCTCTTGAAGTCCTGTTATCTCCCAGAAGCCTATGTGGTACCTAGCCAGGCACCAGCTCTCCATTCTGGTGGAGAGTCATGAGCAAAATGAAGAGAAAGACAGTCATGTCTCAGCATATCTGTGACTCAGGTTCTTCAGTCATAGAGCCATGAGCAAATGAAGAGAAAGACAGTCATGTCCCAGCATATCTGTGACTCAGGTTCTTCAGTCATACAATGAACACACTAATTGTGTACCTAAGTGTGTTAAAGAATCACTGATCCATACATATCAGAGTTGGCCTTAATAATTGTAAAGATTATTTCCTCCAACGGTCTCATTTTACTGCTGAGAAGATATAGCCCAGGGAATGGAAGGAACTCCCAAAGTCACTAAGTAAGTGAGTGGCTAAGCTGGGATAAAAACTCAAACCCTTGATTCTCCACACTGCGTGGAGTACAGTAGTGAAAACGGGTAAACATTGAAAGCACACAACTACTCTAATCTTAAATATTGGAGGGCTAAGACTAACATGCATATTATAAACTCTTATCGTTACAAAGCAATATTTGGTTCATACGTTACTATCTATATTTACTCATTCATAAACTCAATAAACGTGTGCCTGCAATGTGTCAGGTACAGTGTGTTAAGCACTGATGTCATAGCAGTAAACAAGATGGACAGAGTTCATGCCCTCATTTCTATTCAATAAACAAGTAAATCTGGTAAGTAAATGTGCTAATACAGATAGATATAAGTGCTATAAAAGAAAGAAAGTGAAGGGATAGAGTAACGGTGGGGTAGAAAAGGGAGTTTAGATAAGGAAGTCTTCTCCAGGGAAAAGGCATTTAAATTGAGGAATAAAGGCTTAAGGCGAGCCAGCCATGTAAGAGGTAGGGGGAAAGTATTCTAGGCACAGAACACAGAAAGTACAGAAGTCCAAAGTATTGAACTGGCAAGTAGTATCACAGGAATTAGAAGCGCAATGAGGCTGAAACCTAGAGAGAAAGAGGAAGAGTGATAGGAGGCAAATTTGGCAGAAGCCAGTTCATATAAAGACTTGAAGATCATAGTAAGATAACCTGGATTTATTCTATGAACTACAGGGAGATAGAGGTGGGAACTGAGGGATTTTTAAGCAGGAGAATTAATTGAACCAATTTACATTATTTAAAGACAACTCAGCCTGCTATGTGTAGATTGAAAAGGGACAAAAGGTAGGTACTGTTTTAGTCATACAGTGTAAAGATGATGGTGAGTTGGACTGGAAGAACAGAAAAGACGATGGACAGAGGTAAAAAAAAATTGAGATATATTTTAGAGGTAGAAATAACAGAGCTTGATGATGGATTGGATGTGGAGTGTAAGGGGAAAAAATAAATTCCAGATAACTTTAGGTTTTTGTTTTGCAATGCTGGGTAGATGGTGGCATTTTGGCTAATGTGGGGAGACTGGCATAAGCTCAGGTTTGAAGAGGGAAAAAAAATCAAGACTTCCACTTGGATGTATTGAGAGTGAGTTGCCCAGTAGTCATATTATTAGAGGGGATGTCAGGAAACAATTAGATATGAAAGCCTGGCGCTCAAGAGAGATGCTCTGGCTGGACATATACATTTTGGAGTCTTCCTCATACTGATGGTATTTAAAGTCCCACAACAAGATGTAATCATCTAGGAGAGAACATAGATTATAAAAAGGGCCCTGGATGAGTCCTGAGGCTCTTAACAATTAGATAAAAGTTACATAGAGAAGGAGAAAATTATCTATGGACACTGAGAAGCAGTAAGGTAAAAATAAAATGAGGAGAAATCATATTCAGGTGAATGTTTCAAGACTAGGTGTGTGAAATGTTGAGAAGTTAAATGATATGCCCATTGTACCGGCAACAAGGTTGGTAATTTTGACAAGAGTAGCTTCACTGGCATGAGAATAAGAAAGATCGTATTGGAGGGGTAGAGGAATGAATGAAGGGAATGAAGAGTGAGTAAAGGTAAAGAAGTAGAGACAATGAGTATAGACAACTCATTGAGAAGTTCTTCTGTGAAGGAAGTAAGACAAGACAATATTTGGGAGGGGATATGAGGTTAAGGAAATCTTTTTTTGTTTGT